ATGGCTCATAAATACGTTCTTTCTAAACACAACTGCACTGGTATTTTACCCCTAAGGGCAGGTTTTTTCCTTCTTTTTAAATATATTTTATTGTTATTAAGTATTAAATAATGATGATTATACAGGCCACCGAGAAACTTGAAACTTACTTACATTTATGCAAAACGACGGATATAATACAAAATCATCAAGTCCATTTCGGCAACGCGTGTTTTTCGCGCCTCCGCTCAGCAACTGGTGGCGGCGGTCTCGAGTTTCGGGGAAGATTTTTATTGGGGTGAAAGAAAGCGCGACGAGGGCGCAGGAGCCGGGGTCGCCAGGGGGAAGAAGAAGAAAATAGGCGAATCAATTTGTCTGATTTCATTAGCATAAACATTACCCGAGTGTATAAAGATTAGCAGTGCAGCGCGCCAACACTAGACACTTTTATCCCGCTCGACTCGTCGCCCCCAAGCGAGAAAAAACACCCAACTTCAACCCCACCCCGCTCCCAAAAAAGCATGGGGTCGTATTGACCGCGGGGTCGGTCTCAATTTCCAGTTACGCGGTTTTTGTTCGCGGGCCGACGAATTTTGATTAAACGGCGTGCTGCTCGGCCCCGCGATGCGTTCTAATCCCTCCGCAGAATCGGTTATTGATGGACATTTATTATTTCATTATTCCGCTGTTAAAATGATATCCGGGCCCGGTTTTGGGGGTTGGTGGACCCGGGTGCGGCGGGGCGGGGCGAAGGGGTGGATGTTTAACCTGCTTAGTCGGGCTTTGGTGTTGCCCTTGCACCTGCTGCTAGGATCTCTAGCCTCTTTCGACCCCTCGCTGCGATAATGAGCTATTCAGCTACTCCCGATCTTAAACAATCGATAAATATGTTGGTTGATCGTTGGATTGCATTTTGCAAAAAGAAACTAGAGACATTGCAATGATGCTAAGATTGTGCAACTTCATCCTTTGCAATAAAATTACTGAAATCATAAAAAATATGAAATTTGCCAGTTCACGTCTCACACCATCGCGCCTTCAATTTTGCAGATGCAACACGGTCCATCATGTACGAATAGTTGTATATCTGCGCCGTCATCAATACGCTTCCTCTCGCTTGCTTGACCCGACTTGGGACTTGGCGTGTAAAAAATATCTTGGGCATCTAAGGGTTACACACGTGTATTCAAACGGATTGAATAATTTGTTCGTAACTTGTTCTAAAAGTGTTCAGTTTAGAGACCGGAGATGTTCTCGCACTTATTCCACTCGGTTTTTTTCACTAATAAGGAAAATCCGCACAGAGAGAAATTTCAACACAAAATTTTGGTTAATACGGGAGGTAAAACAAGGAACAACTCCGGCCTCCGGTTGACAATTTTGGAAGAAAATGCCGGCTAGTTTTCTTGAAGAAATTCAACAGAGAACGAGTGGTGAATACCAACGACGCGATCGGAGGAATGCATTTCCCCAGTCCCTCCTTCGTTTTCTGCGCTTAATTCACCGCAAACTGTGTCAAAATCAAAACAGAGTGTATGTTGGTTTGTGTTTCATTTCCAATATTAGAATATCTCCCATAGCGAGAATATCTCCGGTTTCTAAACGAAACACTTTTCGAACAAGTCACGGAAAAATTATTTAATCCGTTTGAATGCATGTGTACAACTCTTGGTTGCCCAAAATATATTTTATACGCCAAGTCCAAAGTTGGGTCAAGGAAGCGAGAGGAAGCGTATTGATGATGGCGCAGAGATACAACTATTCGTACTTGATGGATGTCCGTGTTGCATCTGCAAAATTGAAGGCGCGATGGTGTGAGACGTGAACTCGCAGTCGCGATACTCCGCCCTATGCTGCCAATGAAGTGTCGCTCTGATTCGATAGAGAGGTCAAGGAACGAGGCCTGATTGCGTCTCTCATATCTTCGACGGTGTTGCTTACTTAGTCTTTGAAGCACCCTTAAAAACAAGGCACACGAAAACAAACACATTTAGGAAATAGAGCAAGGAAATGGACACGCGTTGATGCCGGCGCAGAGATACAACTATTCGTACTTGATGGATGCCCGTGTTGTATCTGCAAAATTGAAGGCGCCATGGCTTGAGTTGTAAACTCGCGATGCTCTGTAGTGCCAATGCAATGAGTCGCTCAGATTATCATTTTTTGGAAATGATTCTTTTGTACATCGATGGCTAAAGTCAAAGAATATCTCAGTCTTACAAAATTTCCGATTACAATAAAAACATTAATACAATTTCGTTACTCACTTGCAGTAAAATTTAATTAATATTTAATTAAATACCGCAAAAGAGGAAAGAAATATTATACAATTGTTTATCATAATTGACTCGTGGCCATATAGTTTCAATATTTCCAATTAGGGGTTTTTTTTTATTTATTTATTTTTTTTTTAATAGAAAACTAACTAATACACATTTTTTAAAAATCCAGTGAAAATCCTCGAGGTAGAGAAAAAAATTCACGCATAATTTCAAGAGGAACTGTTCTTCAGTCTCATTCAATACAAATAAAACATGAGAGTAGATTTGACACGTTACAATTAGAGATACGCATTTACGACTGAAGCCATCGACGTGTTCTCAAGAGTGCTTTGGAAAAAAAAAACACATTGGATCTAGAGTCCAGACTCTTAAAAACATCGACAAGAAAAAATACTCTTGTTCAATCAGATTTAAGCTTAAATCAAGAACCAAGCCTCTTAATTTGAGCGGATTTCTTTTTGATTTAAGCTTAAATCTGATTGAATCAAGAGTCCTTTTTCTTGTCAATGTTTTCAAGAGTCTGGACTTTAGATCCAATGTGTTTTTTCCCAGTGTGTGTGATTTTCCGTCAAAGCTTCTAGGAAAGCAAATTGAGGCCGAGAATCCCCGGACAAGTTCCCATACTCAACCCCCAATCAAGCTATCTTCATTCAGTCAAGTCGATCGCCGCTTACGTGACCCCGCACGTCCCTGAAGCATCACGCGCCTTTTCGTTCGTCATCGCGTCGAGCGTCAAACGCGCGTCGATAAAAGCGTCAAGCCCCGTTCGCGGCGGGGGCGTACACCTAAAAGCATTAATCAGGACCGAAGCGCGCGCGAGGACCAGCAATAAAACCCAAATCCGGGCAGGAATTAAATTGGATTCCTCTTTGCACTCTCGACCCCCTACCCCACCTCTCACTCCGCACCCTTTCGCTGGCCTTCCGGAGCCCGGCCCGGGCGGAAAATGCAAATGTCTCCGATTTGCATCAATTGAAGACGAACAAATCATTAAGTCCGGAATTAGGAAAAAAGTAGCAGACGGCATCGACCCCCCTCCCCTCGCCGCACCCTCCGGGTTTAACCCCATTCAGCCCCGGGACGAAGACTCTTTAAGTTAATAGAAAATTAATTACACCCATATGACCGGAAATATCGTCGCCCGCCCGGTGAAAGCGCGCAACTGCGTTTCGCCGCGGGCCGTTTCGTGAGTGTTCCCGAGGGTTTATTTCGAAGTGCGGTTGTGTTGTTTTGTCTGACGGTGGTGTATAATGCGACTCCTGCTTTACCCCCCCCCCCCCCTCCCTCGGGCTTACTCCCGGTAGGATCAAGTCGGGAACTTTGCGCGGGCGGGCGGTGCCCGTGTTTTTTAGCCCTATTATTTTGATATTTTGCGCGCGGACCTGCTCGGGTGCGTCCCTCGCTCCTAACCTCGCCGTCAAGTGTCTAAATCGTTGCGGTTTAACCCTCCGCTCCATGTCGCTTGCTTTGCGTTTACTCAGCGACATTGCGAGATTTTCACGTTAAATTTGTGTTTCTGGCGCTATGGTATTTATACCGAGAAGGAGGCAGGTCTGCTCACGAATGCATGCAACCACTTATGCTGCCACGCTAAGGAAGAACGCCGTATGAGCCTTCAGACGTTACCAAGTTTCCTCCGATAAACACCGAATTTATTAGGAAAATTGCAAAGATTATTTTCCAAAAGTTTCAGACAATTTCGTACACAATTAATCTAAAATGTCTGAAAATTTCAAGGAAAGATATGCATGAATGTTGTCAAAAATACATGTTTTATCAACGGAAATTTGGCCACTCTTGAATCCTCATACGGCGTTCTTGTTAGCATGGCAGTATGGGTAGATAAGTTGGATTCTTGGAGATCATGGCAAAATAAATTTAAAATAGTTTGAACTCCAGGTCGTTCAGTGATCTATTGCTGCTGCCCCGCTTAATGTTTAACTGCTTAAAATATTTATTTCCGGATACAACTATTCGAGCTTGAGAGAACCCATTTTGCCTACTTTGTCTATTGAAGGCGAACTTAACTGAGGCATGAAACAAGGAACATGGTTTTATGTCACTTCGAATAATCTGTCCTTTTTCTAATTCTCTTGTTTCCATACTGAAAACATTTTTTTTTTAGGCATTATTTTGACTTTAGCGTTGTTTTTCGTCGACAAAATTTAGTTATTTTTAGTTGAATTCTTGGAGATTGAGCTTGAAGTCAGTTTTTTTTTGAGTTAAAGAAACGTCGTTTCATTATGGCTTTTTTAAACTTAAACTTAACGATAGCGAAACGATGCTCTTTTAAACTATAAAAAACTGAGTTTCAGTTGAATCCGCACGGATTTTAAAAAACCAAATTTTGTCAACAAGGAACGACGCTTTACGTCAAAAAACATCACAAGAATTTTTATTTTTAGGGCTCCTCAATTGGATTGCATTTTGCAACAAGGAACCAAGAGCATTCTAATGTCGCGTACATGTAAGGTTGCGCAACATGTTTCATGTTGCAAATAAAAACTGATCATCTAAACAGGTTTTATCTCTACCCACGATAAACTCTGAATTCAAGACAAATATTACCTTTGCGAATTTAATTTTTTGCATGGTTTCAGTAATTTTTGCGAAGAATGTAAGTTGCACAGTCCTAGCAACACTGGAATTCTCTTGGTTCCTTTTTGCAAAATGCAACCCAATTGCTGTTGGTTTGCGTTGATCCAAGTTGACTCGAAAATGAATTGTAAATTGTTTCAGATGGAATGGTGGGTTCGACGCCGGAAAACTACTCGCCGGCTTGCAGTCCGCACCCTCTGTCTCTTTGTATCGGGCAGGGTTGCCTACCCCAGACGGTGGTGCGGGCCTCCCGGTCGCCTCCCTCTTACCTGTCGCAAGGCCACGCCAAGGCCAAGTGTCTTGGACTCACCTGCGTCGTCTGCGGGGACACCAGCTCCGGCAAGCACTATGGCATCCTCGCCTGCAACGGATGTAGCGGATTCTTCAAGAGGAGCGTCCGCAGAAAACTCATCTACAGGTTAGTAAAACCTCCCCCTTACCCCTAAATGGACGTATTTCTGCTGAATCAGAGACAGGTGAGCAAGATAAGGTGTGCTTGTTAGTCGAGATGTAAGGATGGATGGGAATTATAAAGCGCCAGTGACGTCAGCGGCGCATGAGTGCTGCGTACAATTGGCGCTTACAGTTAGTTCCGTCTGAATGATATCCCGTCCGTTAGAAATGTCAAATCCCACTTTTCCATTTCCCCAAAGAGAATCACGCCCACTATCACATTGTTTATTATGCACCTCTCCAGGGCACATTCCATTCTTTCCCACTTGTCTACTGTTCCGTTCAGCAGAAATTCGTCCAATTAAATGGAGAATTTGCATGTGTATGAAATTTGATAAATTCCGTGTCAAAGTGGATGCCACCAAGTGAGCTGAACACGAGGATACCCTTGGTTCATAAATCGAACAATTATTGGAGGAAATACAACAAAATAACCGAATCTGCTAAAATACATGCCTTTAAATTGGAAATGCCGCCAGATGACGTCACTAGGCAGTGCATTTCCTTACTTTTAAGTCCAGTTTTATACTATTTCCCAAAGCAGAAGAAAATTATATAAAATACTGCAAAATCAGCTCTTCAGACACTTTCAGACGAAGCAATAAAAAATTTGCGTGCAAATTTTCTATTAATTTTTTACATCCCAATCTTCCTCGTTTCGACCAAAAAACCGCTGTGTACAGAAAGTTGAACCCATCAAATGAAAAAAGGGGGAGGAGGTGGAATTGCTTCCAATACTGCCACATGAGCCCAATATTGCTCCTGAATTGATCCCTTGCTTATCTCACCAAAGATGAGCGGAATTGAAGGAAAGCAAGGGATTATTCCCTCGGAATAATTGAAGATCCGGAAAAAATCCATCCGCTGATTGACCTGCGAGGAGACTTTCCGGATCACGCCACCAGGGGTCAGAGCGTGGGCGGGGGCGGGGTCCAAAAGCGGGCGGATAGAATCAATTTTCCGGCGAAGGCTTTTAATAAGACACGCCATAATCCGGGAAACCAATCCGAGCGGCTCCAAGGGGTCGCTCAAGTGGGGCCCGGACAACATAATAAACAACAGTTAAAAATAACACATGATACCTCAATCAATCAAAAGAGCTGCTGATGGCCTTTCAAAGGGGAGGGCGAGGGGACTGATTGGAGCGGGTTTTTAATCGGTAAGAGACCCGAGGGTGCCTGTATTGTCCGTGTAATCCGGTTATTCGAGCCACGGTCCTCCACAGCTTCTCCGCAAATCCGGACCCGCCACCCCCTCCCCGTCACAGGTTTGAGGGCGCCTCTTGAAACTCAATTCCTTCACTTCGACTCTTTCAGCCGACTTTTATTTCCGTTAATCCTTTCCCTCTGCGGATCTCTCTTCACCCCCTCACTTTCATTATTTTTTTCGGGGTCTGCTTCCGTTCGGTGACACCGATTTAAACTTTGCGGAGCTTTTATAGGACTTTTTTAGGACGTATCCGGAAGAGCTTTCAAAGCTGAAAGAATGTTGATAGAATTGTATCGGGCATGTTCCGTTGGTTGGAACCGAGAATGGGTAAAATTTCTGGGAGCCGGGAAAAATTTCTCAGAGGCGGCGAATTTTTTTCCAAAAATCTTGGAGATCATACCAAAAGCAAAGACTACGTTTGTGATAAAATCATGTTAGTGGCGACTCGTGTGCACAACGAATATTTAAATCAGCGGCCGAATAACAATTTTGTTCTCTTCCTCCTCTTCGTTTTCTCCTTCTTTTTCCCTTATCTGTCTTTTCCCCCTTTTCCCACCTTTTTCTGTTTTTCTCCTCCTACCCGATTTGATTTGCTTTACTCAAATAGCTACTTTTATGGATGAGCTGGGAGTCCTTTATTGCCAGGTGTGGTACAAAGGTATCACTAAAATTTAGAGTAGATGCCATCTCTGCGGGCTGATTATTGAAATTGATAGACAAAGCGATCGACAAAGGAGACACAGGGAGTATGGAGCAATCCTATTGGTTGAAATAGGTGGTTCTAATAGACTAAGGGGGGTAAATGATGGACTAAGTAAAGGGTTTCTCGTGGATTGCCGTTAGTTAGTCTCCCATCTCTTTGTACCTACCTCCTTTGTCCATTGGGACCACCTGCCTCTTTCAATAAGCTCGCTCTTGTCTTCTTTGTCCATCACTTTGTCGATCAGTTTCAATTATCAGCCCACATTCGAAGACACGAAGTCAATTTTTCAAAAATTGACGTATCCCTAAGTATCCCTTTTGTCCTCTTTGCATATCAATCACTGGAAAAAAAGTCGCTTGGATCTAGAGTCCGGACTCTTAATAACATTGACAAGAAAAAACTATCTTGATTCAATCCGATTTTTCCTTGAATTGAAGAGCCCACCCCCCACCCATTTGATTTAGGCGGATTTCTTTTTGATTCATGTAAAAAGTCCGAAAAGTCCTTTAATCAAAAGTATTTTTTCTTGTTAATGTTTTTAAGAGTCTGGACTCTAGATCCAAGCGGTTTTTTTTCCAGCGATCGGCCCGGTGCGCTATTCAGATTAATGTCTAGTCCTGCTGGAGTACAAGGCTAACACTCCCCCAAAATTTAAGAGTGCATTTTAAAACCCAGAATCAAGATCGTTTTTTCATCGCGGGAAAATCCGGCGATAAAAAGGTTCTCTTACTCGGAGTCGCTCTCTCGTCTCTCCGTGACAGCACAATTCACAGCAGGGATCCGCGGAAGCACCTCTGTCATGCCGATCGGCAATTTATAATATCCTAGTCGGGAGCCGAGGAGGAAACTAATTGTGGAAAAAAAGAAAGGGAGACCACGGGAATGCGTCGTGATCCCCTCGACTAATTTGTCGCTCCCTCCTTGGGCGGGAAGGAGCGGGAATCGTTTAAGTCACAACTGTAAAATAATTCATCCCCGCGCGCGGGAAGGTGGATGATATATACCCGCGGCACCAAGGCGACGCCGACGCCCGATGCGACGCCGGCGCCGCTTCCGAGCGGAAAAGCGCGAGGGACGGGCGTCGGGACGCGGGGACGGACTCGGATTCAAGACTCGGAAGTATGGAGCGAGATGTCTTCCTTCCAGCGCAGGGTTGCTAGATCGGGACGTTCATGGTGCACAAAAAAGAAAGTGTCCCCGCACACTGAAAAAAAAAAAAAAAAAAAAAAAAAAAAAAAAAAAAAAAAAAAACACATTCACTGAAAAAGAATTCTCGGCGTTTTTACCACGGTCCGTTGGTACCTTTACCATTTCACTTTTTTTTACCAATTATTGGTAATTTTACCAACACAGACTGGTAAGCTTACCTAAAAACCGGTATTTTTACTGTTTTTATCAGATAAGAATACCTCTTTTATTGGTAATCAATTCCCGGTAACGTTGCCATTTTATCTCGGTAATTCTACCACAGTAGATAAAAAATATTGGCGTTTTTACCGGGGTCCAGTAAAATTACCGAGAAAGTTCCATAATTTTACCGAGATTTCTCCGTACAATTACCAATTCCATAAATGGTAACTTTACCAAGAAAAAACTGGGATCAAATAGAACCCTGAATTCTTGGTAATTTTACCCTTTTCTTACTAAATACACCGAGATTTTTTTTCAGTGTTTGATTTAAAGTTCAGACTCTTGAAAACATTGACAAGAAAAAATACTCTTGCTTCAATCAGATTTTTGCTTAAATCAAAAGGAAGTCCGCTCAAATTAAGAGGCTTGGTTCTTGATTTAAGCAAAAATCCGATTGAATCAAGAGTATTTTTTCTTGTCGATGGTTTTAAGAGTCTGGACTCTAGATCCAATGTGCTTTTTTCCAGTGCGCCATAAAAACGCCTCATAATTCGTCAGGGATTTCTTTAAGTATCCCTTAATCAAAATGTAAACCATATGGGGCTTCCGTAGAAAAGTAGCTGTTTAAGGAGCGACCTGCGACCATGAATACGGTCCTCACTTTGCCGTGCTGAGGAAAAACGCCGTATGAACCTTCAGGCGTTGCCAAACTTATTTTGATATTACACGAATTTCCTGGTAAACTTATGGATATTTTCCTCCCAATTTTTCAGATAATTTTGTTCACAACTTCACCTGAAGCTCCTGAAAATTTCAATGGAAATCGTTAATAACTCACCTAAAACATTGACGTTTTATCAAGGGAAATTTAGCATTTCTCGAATGTTCATAGGGCGTTTTTCTGGAGCACGGCCGTATGACCCGTATCCCCTCAATTTTAAGTTTAGTCCGAAGATCTTTTGGGAACATGAATTAATCATCCAGGTGGTGCTTTGTGCAATCTTTGCAAGTTTTTTTTTCAAAATCTGCAGTCCGTCAAAGTGAGCCTTTCGTGTGACTTTGCTAAGAATGGCCCCTAGCCTCCCCCTTCCCCCCAACAGCGTACCCCAAAATCGTTTGACGAGCATAAAGAGACCATAGATATGGTCTTCCATGAACTTTTCACAACCACCCCTAAAAATTTTGGGACATTGACACCTCGGGTCAAATTGACCCGACTACCTTTTCAAAGGGAGTTATAGGGTCGGTATATACAAGATTTAGATACATGTAGGTCTAAAAATACATTCTAAGATAAGAGTCAGACATCAAACTGAGGAAATGGGAAAAATCGAGTGTGAACATAGCCAAAGATTGAAGACAAGTAGTCGGGCCTCGTTTTTAACTTATCTCCTGAATCTGAGCGACGCCTCATTGGTATAGCATATCAGACTGAGCATTGCAAATTCACGCCAAGCTATTGCATCGCGCCTTCAATTTTGCAGACGCAACAGGGACATCCGTCAAGCATGAATAGTTGTATCTCTGCGCCGTCATTGACGCGCATCCTGTTCCTTGTTTTACTTCCATAGTGCATTGGTTCTGTTCGTCTTACTTGTAGTCGTGCGGCTTTAAGAGCTACCTGAGCAAAACAGCCTAAGACAGAGAGACGTAATCAGGCCTTGTTTTTTCACTCTTCTCCCAAATCCAAACGACGCATCGCGCGGCAGCATAGAGCGGATCATTGCAAATCCACTCCTGGTGGCATCGTATCGCGCCTTCAATTTTGTAGATGCAACAGGGACATCCATCAAGCACGTATAGTTGTATTTCTGCGCTGTCATCGACGTGCGTTAACGTGTCCCTTGTCTTGAAATTTAAGAAAATCTAAGGTTAAGTTTGTTAAAAATTTGCTATAATGTGCATGTCAAATCGAAACTAATAAAAAAAAAAAAAAAAAAAAAAAAAAAAAAAAAAAAAAAAACTGTTTAGAAGTCTATCAAGCACCATAAAAGGCGTACGTCAAAAAATTGGTAGTTTTAAGGTGAATCCAGGGTTCGATTAGGGATAATTCAAGATAAGAGATAGCGCCACCAGTCACCACTGAGAATTTCACTTTCCTTATTCAACGATTACTGAAATAATATTGTTCAAATTACAAAAAGCAGATCCACAAGATATAGATTACTTTTTGCTTGATTTTTTGAGCCAAAAATATCGGAAATTAGAATTACAAGCGCAGAGAAAGTACGGCTGAAATTTTCAGCTCAGCCGCGGCGGCCGAGCGCGCAACCGAATCCCTCATGTTTTGTCTCTTTCTCTCCCATTGCCGCAATGGGAATTACTCTCCCTGCCGTAGTTACAACTTTATTTTTGGGAAGATTTTATTACTGAGTGTTCCTCAAGTATGTTGCTATATCCCCTGGATCCTCAATTTTGAATAAGTATTACGGTTTTTATTATTTTGGCAAATATATACGGCTTATCTGAGCAGCGCGACGTGGTGGCCAAATCGCGAAGTTCCAAGCCTGGATTCACCAAAGACATGAAGACGGAGGGCTAAAGCAAAAAATGAAGCTTCTTTTCAACCACCTCTACTATTGGCTAGAGGATTGGCGGCGAAATCGGGCCAAGTTTGAATTCAAATGTAGGGCGGGAACTGAATAAAATAATTGCGGAAACAAAGTATTCTAGGTTGATTTTTGCCCAAATTCACTTACCCACTCATATTTCTTTAACTTTAGGTTAGCTTTGGTCCGTCGTCGATCGATTAATTTCATTTGGGAGTGACGGTCATCTAGAACTGTAACGGCCTGTTTGAACCTGCAGAACCACCATGAGCAGAAGAAAAACTAACTTTATCTGAGATTACTGCCTGTTACCGAGCAAAAGTAGGTGTATTATGTTAGGACGCAGACCGAACTTTCTTAGTATATTCGTTTTAGGAATTTAAAATACGTTTCGAAGAAGAAATGTGGAAAAATCAAGAGGACAAGTTCAAATCAAATTTCCGTTTGCCGCAATGGATTCCCGCGCTCATTTACACACTCACACAAGCGCGCAGCGCCGAACCTAGCTTCACTTTTTCCCCGTGCTTTTAGATACGAGCGCTCCGTCTTTATGTCTTTGGGATTCACCTTAAGATAGCCGTGCCGTCTCAACAGATACGTGCTTTTAGAAGTGAGCGAGTTAAACCAGTTCCTTCACGCTTAAAGTAGACCATAAGAAATCTAAACACGAGGACCGCACGACGAAATCCCTCGATTTTTCCTTAAGGCGGCAACCGCGGGAAAACGGAAGACTCGGCGGGAAAAAACGATATCGCGAAGGGACAAATATATCAAATTAAATAATTAAAAATCAGGAGGAGCGGAAAGGGATGCCAACTGCGGGATCGGAATCGTCGCCGGAATCAATCAGGAAGGGATTTAGCGGGAACGGTGCACATCAAATCTCCTCGACCCCCCCACCTTCGCCCTCGCGCCGCTACATAAAAATAGGATCCGTCTCCGGCGCGGCGCGGCGCGGCGTCTGGGGAATTGTGGCTTCTCCGCACAAGCGCCGCCGCAGAACGAAATAAAAACCACGCGAGTCCAATTGAAAAGCCAATGGAGATACGGGGTTCTGGCTTAGCGCCACCGCAGAAGCGCCCGATCAAAAACTATCAAAATGAATTCTAATATCAACTCCCAATATCTCACCCTCCCCCCTCCCCCCCGGGCTGCGCGGGAACTTTTCCATTTCAACTTGAGCGGGAGTTGGCGCTGGGGTGAGGATTTCTCGCGGAACGGCTCGTCGCGTACCGGCGCACAGTGGATCGAGTAAATTAGAGAGATCGGACATGAAATTTGTGGCTAAAACTGCAAATTTTGATGTTCATTTCGTCACATTTTAAATTTCAAGGGGTGCCACGGAAAAAAAAGAATTGCTGATTCAGCAATTCAATTGCTAAAAGCAGTGAGTGCAATGTTTCAATGTAGATTTTACAACACAAAAATGCTACTTTAACCACATTGTAAACTAATTTAACCACAAAAATTCTACTTTAACCACATTGTGAACTAATTTAACCACGGGGGTGGTAGCATTTTTGTGTTGTAAAATCTACATTGAAACATTGCACTCACTGCTTTTAGCAATTGAATTGCTGAATCAGCAATTCTTTTTTTTTCCATGTGCTTTTCGAAGAAAATTTTACGAGGAAGCCATTGAAACCACTTTTAGAACCTAAAATTTTGTATAAACGGAGTTATAAGTGTTTAAAGTTTCCGATTTTTGTTGAGGCGAGGATTTCTCGCGGAATGGCTCGTCGCGTAACGGCGCACAGTGTATCGGGTAAATTAGAGAGATCGGACATGAAATTTGTGACTTAACCTGCAAATTTTGATGCTTATTACGTCACACTTCAAATTGCAAGGGGTGCTTTTCTAAGAAAATTTTACGAGGAAACCGATGAAACCACTTTTAGAACCTTAAAAGTTTGTATGAACGGAGTTATAAGCGTTTAAAGTTTCCGAATTTTGTCCGACCTCTCCCAATGACTCGTTCCACTGTGCGGCGCACAACGGAACAAGTCAATGGGGGAAGTCGGACACAATCTGGAAACTTTAAAATCCTGAAATTCTTTTGAAACGAAACTTAGGAGTTTCAAAAGTGGTTCTCTTGGTTTTCCTGTAAAATTTTCTTCGAGAAACATCCCGTAAATTTTAAAATTTGACAAACTGAACAAGAAAATTTGCAATTTGAGTGAACAAAATACATGGTAGACCTCTCCCATCGACTCGGTTCACTATGCGGCGTTTGTTAGGTCGCATCGCACTTTTCCGCTATTACTCTCGGCTGAACTTGAGGTACAGGTGCCCAAAATTTTATAGAGAATCATAGTTTTTTCAGAATTTTGGAGAAGGGTCGTAGAATTGACTCATGATAAATAGCCATCCCCGTGTGTTTACCATTGAAGTCAGAGCCCATAAATTTTCCTTTTAACTTAATGCTTGGCCATGGTTGACTGCAGCGCTGAAGCTTATATATAGAAAATAGCCATTGTTCAAGAGGTTTGATGCGTAACCGCCGTAAAAGTCAAAATAGAGAAAGAATTTCAAGTAAAGCATATCCATCGGTTACAAGCTTGATGAATAAGTATTATTTCCACTACCCTACGATATTCACATTGTTGGTTTATGTTTTCGCAGGTGTCAAGCTGGCACGGGAAGGTGCGTGGTTGACAAAGCACATAGGAATCAGTGCCAAGCTTGCAGACTGAAAAAGTGTCTTCATATGGGAATGAATAAAGACGGTAAGTTTGAGGTTTCCGAAAACAGTTTGTAGTATTGAGAAGTGAGGTCCCTTAAATTGGATATTTGGGAAAAAACGAAAAGAGCCTAAAGTTTTCGTTTGAAACCTCTTTATGAGTCTGAATATTTTAGCAAAAGCAGACTTCAATGTGCAGAAATAAATGGTCAGATAAAACTATAAAACGTTGCCGCAATGTAATCAACCCCTTTACTCCTCACTTCTTTGAATTTTTTTTTTTTTTTTTTTTTATATTTTTATATTTTTTTAATACAACAGAACTACAAAAGTATTAACCGTTTTTACTTTATTGATTACGTATTGATTTTACGTATTGATTGTAGGCGTGTCCATCCTATGCCACACGGTGCCTGCTGGACGCTGGGAAGCGGAAACAATAATTATTATAATGTTTGTAAATAGTACCTATTTATAAGCTTAGTTAAGTTAGAGTCCACCGACTCACCAGCTCATATTTTAATCACTCTTATTTTTATCAATAACGTAAAAATTTTTGATAGAGATACGGAAAAGCATTTAATCACGAGTAAACTGTCGTTCAGGGTGGCATGAAACGTAAAAAATAAATGAAGGATTGGAAATTTCAGTGAAATATTTCATGAAATTTAACGAGGCTGTAAAATATTTCATATTTTTCAGGGGCTAGAGTATGCAACCTGCAGTCAAACACACAAAAATAGAAGAAATTCACTATTTTTTCATTTTCTGAAACTTGAAAAGAAACCGGTGTTTTTCAATATCTTTCATAAATTCCTAAAACTTCATGAAATATTTCACATGGAATTTCAATATTTTATTTTTCATGAAATTTTGCCACCCTGGTGTCGTTGTCCTAACTATCTTACCTCATAATGCAACGAGTAATTTCCCGAGTGTGGCAAAAAAGTACCGAAAACGGGTTTCTTTGTTGTAATGACTCCGATTTTCTCAGTGAATATGAGCTAAACACCCATGCGGATTTCAAACAAACTTGGAAACGATCATCGTAAGGGAACTCCGACACGATTGAGAATAACACACACCTTTAATTACACCCCCAACAAAGCGCATCGTGTTTTAACGCCCCCAACAAAGCACATCGCGTTTTAACACCCCCAGCGCTGCATCGGGTTAGCTCAAGGAATCGACTCCAGCCGAGCCCCAGACGAGCACGATAGCTCGCATCCGTCACACCGTTAATGAGGCGGATTAAGAGGTGAGCAAACCGCGCGTCGCGGCCGCTCGGCGGGTTGCTTCCGCCCGGCGGGCAGGCGCCTCCAGATAAATCATTATCGACACATAATTGTGGGGCTTTGGGCCGCCGGCTGCGGCGCTTAATGGGCTCCAGTTATTCAAATTGTTAACTGCGAATATTAAATACCCGCCCGAAGCCAGGTTGCCATTTTCAACCCTAACTCTACCCCATTTACGTGCGGAAAGGGGATGTTTTTTGGTCCGTTTGGCGGCGGCTCGACCTCTGTCGACGCGTAATTGGGACACGTTTGTCGGCGCGCGGCGAACCAACACGCACGCTTGCCCGCGGGCCCCGAACCTTCAAACAAACGCACCAAAAAGCCCGCCCCTCCGCCTCCCCCCCCCCCCCCCCCCCCCCCCCCCNCACCAGTCGGGGTAATGAGCTTTCGTCGTTGCGGGTGCTGTTCTCTGACGCGTTTGTCTGCGGTTTCGAAATGAAGAGAGTTGGAGCGAGGGCGAGCTGGTTTCTGATTGGCTGTGGGCTCTACTTAAGGATTTGTACCTTTATTATGCTTCCGTATCGATGAGTAAACGGGAAAATCGGGTTGTGATCAGTGGCGTGGCGTGAATTGCGATACATCGATTGTCATGCCATTTAAACCTATAGAAAAGGATCGATAAACAGGGTGTTCGCAGCGAACACCTAAATAATCGATTCTTTACAATAGGTTTAAATGGCATAACAATCGATACATCGCAATTCACGCCACGCCACTGGTTGTGATCTTAGATGCTTCCAAACGTACTTTATTATTTTAATATACAGGGTCATTCAAAAGTCACGCACCACTGGCCATAACTCTAGTTCTAATGAAGATATCGACTTGCGGTTTTTGACGTTTTTCCTCATATCGAGGGGAAAACTTTTTGGGGTTTTCCAATTTTTGACTCCTTTAAGGGGAGGGGGAGGGGGGCAACCAAAGATTTCAAATGGCCACCCCCATCATGGCCAGTGGTGCGTGACTTTTGAATAACCCTGTAGTCCCTGTAGAACGATTTAATGTCGTATCAATGGTCAAATTGCGAAACTACGTATCTTCAGTGCGGCGCTTTGAACTTTCCAGTCCTATTTTATTTTGTAAGGGAAGCAAGCCAACTTCAGAGCTTTTATAATAAATTATGTGCCAATAGAATAGAAAGTAATCAAGGAAGTTTTTAAGGAATTACGTTGATTCATCTTCCGGAAAAATTAATTGATAGGAATTTTGCAACGCCGCTAACGGAGGTACGCGGTTTTGTACTTTGGCCATCGAAATTTCAAATCCTTCTGCGATTTTCCTGTTTGAGAACATGGTAATTTCTAAATATTTTTAGTACGGAAACCGATTCACTCTCCTTAAAAAAATATTGAGAGAAAATTTTTTGAAAATATATCAGAACTCTAAATACATATTTTCGGTTTTTTGGTATACTTTCAACACAGATTGTGTATTCGATAAAGAAAATAAAAAAAATTGAAAAATGAATACCTGCCTGTTATTGCAGAGTTTTATATCAATAACCAATACTTCTTAGCAACGAAATTTCAATCTTAAATAACTCAGCTGTTCGTTTTCTTCTGACCGAGCACATAATTTGTGAACGAAAGTAAATAATTTTATGCATTCGAGGTATTGTTTTATTCTACTTTTTTCAAAAGAGATGAATTATTTGAGGAGAGAAACTGAGCGATTGGTGACTTGTCTCCTTCCAGTTTTTTTCGACGACTCAAAGTATACTTCATAGAAAAGAACCGAGTCTGTCATCGGTTCATTGGTATCTTCTGGACATAATCTGAGCTATACTAAATTTAATTCTAATCAGGACAAAATAAAAATGAATTGTTCCTTTAAATACGCAATGGGCCTGTTGCAAACTTTTGCTAGAGCAAAAATAAGAGTTGTTTCTTGTAGATAATGTCTCAAAAATCACGATGAGCGCATCGGCAAAGTCTGAAATGCACTCATAACTTCACAATCTGCGTAAGAAATTTGCGTTTTTTTAAGCTTCCCGCTTCAAAAACGATACTACGGCGTAGGTGAACATTTTGTTAGAGGAGTCGCTCCATCGTCGGCGATATTCATCATGGCCGACACTTGCGCGCAGTTTTGCGCGTAATTCGAGGAGAGTTCAAGGTCAATCAATGCGGGCGTGGAAAACATGAACGTTAAAACACGCCGATTGTTATCTGGTCTAATCCAGTTCAGGTATTATCTCGTCCCATCACACGTGTTTTGGCGGATTGGCGTCGGCCATGATGAGTATTGCCGACGATGGAACGACTCCTCTTACAAAATGTTCACCTGTGCCGTAGTATCGCTTTTGAAGCGGGAAGCTCAAAAAACCGCAAATTTCTTACGCAGACTGTGAAGTTATGAGTGCATTTCAGACTTTGCCGATGCGCTCATCGTGATTTTTGAGGCATTATCTATAAGAAACAACTCTTAGTTTTGCTCTAGCAAAAGTTTGCAACAGGCCCATTGGGGTACTCGTACCTTTAGAAAATACCTGAATAGAAAACTTGAAGATTGATTCCAGACATGTTGATGATCCTCCCCTATTTTCGCGGGCTTTTTCTCTGCGTGTAATTTTATCACAATGGACATCAAATAGACTACGAGACCGCGGGACCACGTCAAAGCTCATCGCTTGCATGCAGCGCAGCGATGCGATGCGACGCGACGCCGTGAAAATTGTTAGCATGCAAAAAGCGCAGCACAACAGTTTACCCGCCTGGTAATTGCATCTCATTTTTGTCCGATACACGTTCCCGGATTCCACGCCTCGGAGCGTTTCCACTCATGCAAAACTTTTTTAATGGCTCCGACGAGATCCAGCGTTGCCAAAATATACCACTATTAACTGCATTTAGAAATAAGGATTTATTTTGTGTGGGTCCCGTAGAAGGCTGTTCGGGATTTCAGGACATAGTTTAATGTAACTTTCCACTCAACATGCATAATAAGTTTGCAATTTAGTACCCTAAACATGGTAATTTGAAATTTTAAACAGCTTCTCATTGAAACTGCGTGATTTGAACTGTAAATTTGATATTTATTGGCGTTTTTCACCCTTAAATTTCCTAAAATCCTGTTCTACTCTAGTGTCAACTATTCAGCTTTGAATTTTCGTGGACGGAGATCCCATTCTCGAAAATGGTCACATATGATCGAGGAGTGCAAAGCGGATTCCTTCAGATTCTGCACAGGTCAGGGAGCTTTAAGAGCACAGCAGTACTAAATTCCTAATGGTCAAAACCGATTAAAAGTCATTTCTCGAGCCTGTTTCATTCTTAAGAAGGCCCCGAAAGATTTGAATTGTGATTTTAAGGAATCCCTAAATGCAGCATCATGAAGGGCAATTTTTGCCAATCTCAAGTAAAATTTATCAGTTTACGTTTAGAAATAGATCCTCGCTAGATATTACAATGATTTGTTGCTGCTAAATGTACAAAAGAGGATAAAAAATTATATGGTTTTAACAAACTTTAAGTTAGTCGCAAACCTATCTTAAAATTCACACAACTTGCAAGACAGGACCCGCTATGAAGGGACAGTTTCCAAAGTTATACTGCTAAATTTTACGCGAGGTTTGCGAAATTGCCCTTTTTTTTATGCTGTTTATATATTAAGGGGCTCCTTTAAACTCCCTTGGTGACAATGCGAGCCAGATCGATGGCTAAAGTGCGATACCTCGTATCTCGCGACGTAGCAGACTTCTTGTAATACTCTCTTTTTTTAAGAACATGTCAACATAATTCTCTGAAAACTCTCTTGGTTTTTCAAACCTCTCTGTGGGCAGAAACTTTAATGAAAATTTCAAGCCATACAGTTTGCTTGTTCCTCTTCGATTCGATAAAATAGGAGCGGACATTTGGAAACACAGCAATGGAGATACGTGGTTTCGCATTTTGGCCATTGATACAGGATCTTTTAGGAATGGAAGCTAATAAAGGAACGACTACAGATACACATTTTTACACAGCAGCCCGCGACAATGGTAACATGAAATAAACAAGGGGGAAAAACAAGAGGAAAGGCTAAACATACAAAATGAAACCCCGAGACGTTTCGGCTAAGAACGGACCCATTTTCAGTCGAAGAAACAAGAAGAAAATAAACAAATTTCGAGAAAACCCGGAAATGAATATGATGGTGGCCGAGATTTAAGAATAACAAACCTAGGTTTTTCCCCCGAAATTTGTATATTTTTTACTTTTTCCCCATACTGAATATGGCTCAGTTCTGAGCCAAAACGTCTCGGTGTTCCATTGTATATTACTAGCCTTGTTTCGCGTTTTATATCCCTAGTTATTTCATGGAACGACCAATGTTTCATGGAAAGTAGATAAAATTAAGTCCATTAATTTGAGTAAATAAACTAATCAGCACCAAAATTCAAATATTACTTAAGAAAAATTGATAAGTTCTGATAACTTTTTCGATAATAATTACACCACATATATAAGCTAAAAAATCTAAAACAACAAACAACTAATGGTTTACTTAACATTTGAATCTTTAATCAAATGTTATGATTTGGATAATCAAACCATGGAGTCCTTTTGAACAATTTTACCTTTGGTAATCCTAGTTTTTCTAGCTTTTCCCTCCATCCGAATTTTATATCTAATGGATGAAATGAAAAATCTTATCCCAACATGTAAAGTTTTAAAATAAAGTTTTTAAATAAATAATAAAGGGTATCCAACCCTCAAGCAGTTTGTCGGCCCCTTCCGTGAAGTCAGACAACGGTGCGGCTCGCGCGGAGCTTTTCTGCGGCCCGCAGAAACCGCA